TACTAAATGCTAAAATTTCCCCACCTTTGTACCTTAGATGTTACCACACATAATATGACCACACATAATGAGTATTGAAGTAAAGAAATTGAGAACAACAAAGTGGTCTACATATACCATTAATAGTCAACACTACAATACAACAAAATGCTAAACACATATTGCAAAAAAATATAAGTTGTCGGACAAGTGGGTACCATAAACAAATCAAAAAAGAGTATAACACACCTAACTTGGGACCACAACTTTCGAACAACAACTATAGACAAATAATTTTGCGCTTCAACGAACGATTATATGAAGGAAAGATGAAAGCTTAAATTTGCGCTTCAATTACGCTTCTCAACCGAACAAGATGAGTCTTTCAGACCAAGAGGGGGATTTTATGGTTTCATTTGGTATTTGTCTTAGTATTTTAGGATTATAATATTATTTAAATAATCATATACCATGTTGGACAGTTTTAATGTATTTTAGTCATAATAAAATAAAGTAAAATGAATTTCAATTACACGTGAACGGCCACGTCAGCAGTCATTAGTTTAATTTAACGTCAGAGACGAATATTATGGATGGAAAATTTTATAGAAACGATTCATTAAAGAAAATGTTTAAAAAGACTAAAAACATATTTAACTCTTTATTATAAATACTATAAATGTATAGAAGAACGTGAGACTCTAAAATATATAGTCCCTGTGAACACTTTCTTCATTTAAATGTATAAATAAGTTAATGTGACATTTTTTATTGCGTCGGTTTTTTTAGTTGGATTTAACATTTTGCTAAGTTATATTTTATTTTAATTAGACTTGTGATTTTTCATACAGAATTAAATTTGTAATGGTGTGAAAATTAATAATATTTTAAATTTTTGAATTATTATTATATATATATATATATATATATATATATATATATATATATTGGTCTAACCTTTAAAATCTTAAACCTTTAAGTACGTCGGTTCAATATGTAGTCTGATTTTAATTAGTACAGCCTGAAATAAAATTCTCAGAATGCCACGTACAGATGGCTTCACGCCATTTTAAATAGCGTAAATGTGGGACCCAATGGACTGCATAAGACCTTTCAAGTCATTTGAGTTGGCGAGAGCCCTTATGCTGTCTACTGGGTCTCACATTTACGCCATTTGAAATGACGTGAAACCCTCTGTATGTGGCATTCTGGGAATTTCGTTTGTGACAACATTGTAGGAATTTTGTTTCACAAATGTGGCATTGTAGGAAAAAATTCCGTTTTGAACACCTCAATCCACTAGTGCAGAAATGACTTTTTACATCGGGTGAAACTGACTTTTTACATCGATTCTGGGTCCGATGTAAAGTCAGGCGATATAGTAAATCAGGTACTTTTTACATCGGTTCTGGGACCGATGTAAAAAGTCCCTTTTTTACATCGGTTATAATATAAGAACCGATGTAAGAAACAGTTATTATGCACATTTTTAAAAAAAATGATGTAATTTTTTACATCGGTTGGAAGTAATACCCGATGTAAAAAGTCCCTTTTTTACATCGGTTATAATATAAGAACCGATGTAAGAAACAGTTATTATGCATATTTTTTTTTTAAAATTGATCCAGTTTTTTACATCGGTTGGAAGTAATACCCGATGTAAAAAGTCCCTAGTGACGCAACTTTTTACATCGGTTATTACTCCCAACCGATGTAAAAAGTCCCTTTTTTGAAAGTTTTTACATCAGTTTTGAGTAATAACCGATGTAAAATGTATGAAATTTTTTTGGAATAGATTATTTATTTTCTGGATGTTTCCCTGTACAAATATAATTTGTACCCATTTTTTCATATTTTTCCAATATCACACCGACTATATTTATGTCGCTATATAGATTTCATAGCTTTCCAACATCACATATATCACATCTAGGTCGATGTTTTCATATTTTTCACAACAAACTTACAAATTGAACAATTGTATTGCAAACTTGTATTGTATTACAACAAACAAACTCACAACAAACTTACAATTACAAATTCTTCACAAAATATACAACAATATTCAACTATTTATAAGTCTTTTTCAAAACTTACAATTACATATTATTCACAAAATATACAAAAATATTCAACTATTTCTAAGTTTCCAAACTTGAATTACCAATATAAAATCTTCGGTAGACAACACCAAAATCACATTGCCTGACAATAAATAATAACAATTAGCATCAGCAAAAAAAATCAAGAAACTCAATACATGTGCAAAAACCACATGTATTGTGCAAAAACCACAACTTATACAATTCTATAAAACTCACCAAGATAAACTTAATTTTCATGTAACTCAAAGAAACATTTTGCCCAACGAAGTCGCAAATCATACAAATCATCTGGTGTTAATTATGTTGGGCCATCAAATACCTATAATACATAAATATAACAATATAGAGTTATTTTTAAAAAATTCATATTAAGTTGAAAAACAAAAAATAAATAACAAAGTAAAGTTATTTTTTGCTACCGTAAGTGTTTCAACAAACAAATAAAGTAGAATCTATTTTTTGCCACTCTCATCTTGACAAATTAAGCATCATGTCAAAGCATTTGTTTCTCCAGTTTAAACATACCTAGATTCAGTTTCAAAATATTTCAGCTACTTAAAGCATTATCTAGAGTAAGCAAAACATTTATAAGAGGTTGAATTGTCAAATCAACACTGCTAATTAATGATATCAGAGAATTTATTTTATGATGACGCCAAAGAGAAGAGAAAGTTAGAACTCTTGCCTATGCCAAAAGTACATATACGTGGTGTGCGGATTGATGGCCCATTTGTTACGTAGCTTTTCACAAATTCACATATCTCTCTCTCATCCTCAACAGCCCCATCAGTTACAAGAAAAATAAGAGGGACTGAATGGCTTGATTTCCGAAGTAGGTTCATCGCCTAAGATAAAGCAAAACAGAAAAATCAGATTTCTGTGACAAATATGTATATATCAAAGGACTCAACATCCAACAGTTCAGCAAAGGATACAATTTACTAAACACTACATAGGATTTGCAACAAAATAAAATCAAGTACTAAGATAACAAAAATAGTAGCCTTTGCCTTTTCATCACCTCTTTTAAGATTTAACAATACTTTCATTTAAGCACTTGAATGAAGAAACCAAAATGGAAAGAGAAGCTTTAATTAACATTAACAAGCCATGAAGTAAGAAAAGAAGGCACGTCATATTGAAAATGTCAAAAATTAAGAATTACATGAGTTAAGGGATGCATGATGCTAGTACCACCATTTGCTATAAAAGTAGTGTCTACCCACTTGGAAGCCTTTGAAATTGCTTCCTTTGTAGCTGTTACCATCGATGGCGAGAATAAATAGGCCTCCCCATTGAAAGCTATAATGTTAAATGTATCTTGCTGGTTTAATTTAAAGAGTGAAGCTAGTAGCGCGTTCTTTACGTTTTGGAGAGGACTTCCTTTCATGCTTGCACTTATATCTACTACGAACACCATATCCTTTTTAAAAACCTATCAATGGACAAAATGCTTCAGTATAAAACTGCTTGAAAGTTCAAGATAGCTTAACTTGATTGAAAGTTTGAGAAAAAAACATGCACCTGTGCAAACTACTATATAACCATTTTACGCTACACACTCACTAACTTAACTAGCTTTTCTATGTTACGAATCATGACAAAAATATAGTTTTGGAAAGAAAAAGAAATCGACATAGTATAATATTGAAACAAACCATTGTATCCTGAAAATTTCCAGGATAAAGATACAAGCAAAATATCTCTCTTTCATTGAAATCACGTAGGAAAGGCGATTGTAAGAGAACACCTCCAAATAAGTCACTTGAAGAAACCTGTAAAAGCACTAGCAAATTAAGCTAATTCTGATATAGCATCCTGAATGTCTATCGTTCAGAATCAGAATTTAGTTCTTTTATGGAATGCATTAAAACAATTCGCTTCTAGCTCTTACCTTGTACGAGAAACTGAAGTATGTTTTGACCAAGTTGATAACTCTACTTCATAAGATAAACTTAACTTTACAGCTTGGCGCGTTAGTCCCTTGAAAATAATAAAGTTGGTTTCAGTTTAAGTCTAAACAGAAGCCAAATTGTTATAAATTGCTTTGATAAAATCAATTTAAATTGTTTTGATAAAATCAATTTAAATATCACGTGACAAAATTTATCTCGTTAAAAATATTATAACTTAAAATGAATTTAAACAAAAAATTTGTACATAATGTACTGTAGCATTATCTCCTCTAGCATGTTAATCATCCCTTAGAATAAGATATCTCTATTCTCTATGTATGTTTTCCAATATTTTCGATTATGGTTTCACAATGCATAACACCTTATCTTCTCTTAAAGATATTGTTGCTTTTTTAACTCAACTCTCATGAATCTATCATATCTTGTAATAAAACCTTCTGTTATTCTTTAAAAACTTAGAAATTTGGATAAATAAAGTTTCTTAAAGAAAATTTTACAAGTTAAAGCGCTTGAAATGAATTTCTACCTAGTGTTAACATAAGGTATTGACTTAAATCAAGAGAACAAACATTGAATCAATAACACCAAAGTGAAGAATGTGACTTACAGTTGAAACGGCGAGCGAGGAAGGGCGTGAATCGGCTGGTGAAAAGTCGTGAACGGCGGCGAGGAGACGTGAAACGGCGGCAAGGAGATGTGAAACGGCGGCAAGGAGACGTAATCAAATTTCAACAAACCGCATCATCTGTGTTCATTATCTGTGTTCATCAAACAAATCTGCAAATTCACAACAAACATCATCATCAATGGCGGTCGAAGCAATGAACAACGAACAGAAACGACGATGAACAGAAACGGCGATGAACAGAAACAGCGATGAACAGAAACGAAGATGAACAGAAACGGCAACGAACAGAAACGACGATGAACAGAAACGGCGTTCGAAGACGATGAACAACAAAATGTCGGTCGAAGAACTTCAAAGACGATGAACAACAAAATGTTGATGATGGTGGCTGGGAAACGGCGGTCGACGAACTTCAAAGTCGTGAACGGAACTGTCGTATGCGTACAGTGAGGCGTATGGGTTGTGAAATGGCGACAATGAAAGTATTGTATAGCGGAAATATTGAAATATTGTGAATTTAGGAATTAAGGGTTTGGAACCTATTACATCGGTGGAACCTATTACCCGATGTAAGGGTGTGAGCCTAAGCAGTTTTTTACATCGGTTATTTGGTGGACCGATGCAAACGTCTTTTTAATAGTTTTTTACATCGGTTTAAAATAAGCCCTGATGTAATTTTTTTAATATATTTTTGCTTGTTTTTTATTTACATTTCTGCCACCTTGTTTCTTATTTACAAAAATGCCACCGTATTTTTTTCTGAAAACCTTTTACATCGGTGGATGAGATTGCCCGATGTAATAGGTAGCGAAATATATTTTTTTTCTTATTTTTTATATCATTGCAAATAAATACCTGATGTAAAAAGTTTGTTAATTATATTTTTTACATCATATATTTTGATACCCGATGTAAAAACCTTTTTCTCAAATGTCTTTTTTTTAGTAGTGATCTTTCGTTCATATAAGATTTTAGGTTTTATTCTTACTTTAAATTTTAGATCAGTGATGTTTAAGATCTGTGAAATCAGTGATGTTTTTTAGATTCATGAAAAAAATTTATGGTGTTTTTTTAGATCTATGAAATAAAAGAAGATCCGAAAAATTTGAAGGATTGATGATGTTTTTCTGCATTTGCTTTTCAGGTTATTCAAATGGTTTAACAAGTTATACAAGTAGTTTAACGCATTGTTTGTCATCAGAGCAATGATTTTGAAGGTTGAGAGAGATATTATAAGGTGAATTAATCAGTAATATTTTGGGATTATATTTGTTATTTTTTTTTGTATTGATTTTGATTACAATTATTTGTTATGGAAGTTGTTGATGTTGTGTTTATGTTGTTGTTAGAATGAAGAAAAAGAAGATTTTAATTTTGAGAAACTAATTGAACTTAGATGGAACAAAAGGAGTTTATTTGTTTTGGTGGATTGTATTTTGTGTAGCATCACCTTTACATTATGCAACAAGAGCAAGATAATTAAAGGTAAAGTTAGTTTTTGTCCATATGTTCTCTTCTAGTTTTTTTTCTCAAAAATCTTAAAATATTTTATGTTATTTAATAATCTTCTATCTAGAAAACAACTCGTGTCAATGGTTCCAATTTTATACAAATCAAATTTGTTCAAGTTTTGTGTTGTAGTTGGTTTGAAGACAGAACAGGTGAATTCGGAAAATTTGTTTGAGGTAAAGGAACAACATGTGTTGTAGAACGAACATAAGGTGTAGAAAAAGGAATTGTTACAAGCATTGTAGTTGGTTTTTTTTTAATGAAATTTTATGTTTTTCATTATTTTTTTCATGACTATGTTTTTAATTGTTAATGTAAGTCATGTTTACTTTTCTTTTTTTTTTTTGATTAACATGCTTTAATTTTTTTCCGATTTGTTATTATGACAAATTTTCCTCCATAATCATAAATTGTGTTTATGGTTTTTTATTTGCAATAGGTAATAAAATCATATATCAAATTTAACAATGCATTCAAATAAGAATTCCCAAAATCGTGTCAGAATAGTGACTTGCTTGGAATCCTGATTCATTTTTTAAGAGATCTGAAAAAATTTAAAGGATTGATAATGTTTTTCTGTATTTGTTTTTCAGAGGGGTTTAACAAGTTATTCAAATGGTTTAACCCATTGTTTGTCAAAAACAACATCAAAGGGTGATCTTTTTAACTTTATATCTCTTGCATATCGTTTACAGACATTTTGTTGGTTAAATTAACTTTTTTTGTCTCTTGTAATTTCTATATATTGGAGGCTCTTATTCATATCGACCTTCGCATTATGTTAGATACTGTCTACAATCATTTACAAAGAAAAAGCCCCTTTGATGAACATCTTGTCTTTGATGCAATGAGATTGAAGTATGACTTAGTGAAAAAAATTTAAGTGAAAGATGGTGTTATAAAGCACCTCCCATGTTGAAGTAATGTGAAATTCTGGCACTTTAAAGTAGATGTCAATATTGATGTCCCAATACTAAAACACAATCAATTGTTAATTCAGTTCGGTGCAACTCGCTTACTCTGGAGACATTCAAGCTAGAAAGGAAATTCACTATGATAGTATTAGTTCAAAGCACTACGCCAAAAATGATTTTTTGTATCACCTAATTTAATAGCACTTTTAAAAAAAATGCTATTAAAATGGAAAAAACACATTTATAATAGTACTTTTTAATCGGGCGCTATTATATAATATAGACTATGTAATTTTGATAGCACTTTGTACCAGAACGCTATTATTAAACTTCTTTAAGATAGCATTTTGTATAAAACGCTATTATTTGACTACCTATATAATAGCATTTATTAAAAAGCGCTATGTTATATATAATAATGAATTAATTAATTAATTGATAAAAAAAAACAAAACACATCGTCAAAAGCACTGTGCAATCCAGTCACTAGCAAGTTCATGTTCAATTCTTTCTCCTCATAAAACTCTTCAACGAATTCGCCTTTCGATTTTCCCCTACAACCACGCGTGTAAGTTTCCCAAACCCACAGCGAACGTAACCGTTTCCCATCAATTTTCCCCTTTCGATTTTCCCGGCCACACCACCGCCGTCATCGCCGCTTCATCCACCGACGACAGCGGCATCCCGTCTCAAGATCTCGCAGTTCTCCTCGAAGTCGACGGGTGAATTTTTGCTTTTCTTCGTTATTAACAATCTCGTTTCAGTTTCACTCTGCTCAACTTGTTTGAACTGTTGTGGTTGTTAATTGTTTTATTTATTTATTTATTTGTTTTTTAGGGTTCTTGTGGATGCATACCGTGGGAATCGCATAGCCTTCAATAAAGGTATCAACAGTTCGACTGTGCTCACTGTCAGTGCTCATCTATAATTCCATATTCTCCTTGTGTTATTCTGTTTTCATGGAGTGTAACGAACTGTTGTTTTTCGATTTTGATTTCGATGTTGTGCTTGCAGCATTTGAGAAACTTGGACTTGATTGTGCGAGCTGGAGCGAACTTGTCTATTCAGATCTTTTAAGGTGTTTTTTTGGTTATTTGTTCCCTTTTGACCTTGCCACAACACATTTATCTTGACAGTTGATATGCAATGCAAGATAATCTGATTGATCTTCTCAGGTATGCCAACCTGCTGCATAACCTTTTTGATAAAGCTCCAACTCATGTCATAGGCCTTAGATAAATCCAGCTTGATAGCAAAAAAGTCCTTGTTACCTTTAAGCTTATTCATGCTATGGACCATTTCATTAGTCATGACAATATTCTCATGGATGCTTCTCTTGGGGATGAAACCAGTTTGATAAGGAGAAACCATGTCATCAATACCTATCTTGTGCCTATTGACCACAATCTTACTAATAATCTTGTAAATGGTATTGCTGATAAGATCTTTGACATACTGCATCTTTCCATTACTGAATTGATGACACAAATTTGTAAGGTTGGCCACTAAGCCATTCTCCTCACGCCACTGCTGATCAAGTAAAGTCTCATAATTGTGTTTGTTAGAAGAAGTGTTCTTGTTAGCTTATATGACTAATTTTATATTATGAATCTAACTGTAGTTGAGCATGTCGAAGTTAAACTGAATTCTTGGTGTTCACTTCAGCATTAATATCATGTTCAAATGTTGAATCTTGTTGTTTTGAATTCTTTCAATCCTTGTCCTCTATCATGATTCATGATTCATGAGATTATTGCATTATTGTGTATTGGAGTGAATGAACTGTTGGGTTTTCATTTTTAATAAACATGTTCATCTTGCAATTTGAAATCATGTCAGATCACACTTGTAGCAATGCAGTGCCTATTTTCTTCTCTTGATCAATATGCATAAATTATGAAAATCATATGAAAAACTGATAGTCATTCTTGGTGTTAATTGAATTCTTGGTGTTGATTGTATTTGCAGATCAGGTGATGTACACATTGCAGCTTCATAAATATATGTTAATCAATATATACAAGTGAAAGAGTGACATGAAAAATCATGGTAGGGTAAATAAATATTGCTATGTAGCTGACACTGTTAATTATGATACCAATTTGAATAGGAATGTCCAAAGGAGCCATTGCTGGCATAGTTGTTGGAGGAGCTTTTGGAATTTTACTTTTGGCACTCATTCTCTATGTTGTGTTCTATAGAAGAAAAAAAGTTGCTCAAGTAACCCTTCTACCAGTCCCAGGTGCATCTGAAGAACAATATAGCCAACTCCAACATGGTATATATCATATTTTGTTGTTAACTGTCTAGTGATATTTTCTAGTTCTAGATTGTAGATTAAGTTTTCATGTATATATATGAGGATTATTTGTTCCATGGATTTAGGTTGTGGAAGTAGCTTGGATAAGGCTTCCGAATCAACTACTATTGCTTCTCCGAGGTTGACTGGTATTACGGTTGATAAGTCAGTGGAGTTTTCATATGAGGAGTTAGCCAAAGCTACTGAAGGATTTAGCGCGGCAAATATAATAGGTCGAGGTGGATTTGGATCTGTTTACTATGCCGAGCTTCGCAACGAGGTTTGTGTGTTTAAAATCTATTTTAAAATGGAAATTCAATTTATTAGCAGCAATTAACATACTTAGAAACTATATATATATATATATTGATTTTGATTTGGACTAGAAATAAGAGTTGCAGTAACAAGAACTTATTTGTTTATATGTAATTCTTTGTAAATGAATCAACCGAAATGCTGTTCATCTTCAAGTGTCTCTAGATCTCCTTTTGCTTTCCATATTTTATATAGGTGTGTTTTGGTCTGTCAGTAAACCAATTTCTACTTCTACTTCTTTATCTGTTTCTTTTTCTTGAGTAAGCTTTTACTTTGTAATGCGGAAACTATCCTTAACTTCTCTTGTATCTGATGTCACAAACTGCAAAGAAGTATATAATGCTTAAAATGTATTTAAGATAAAATAAAGAAATCATGATTCTCTGATGTATTTTGCTTAAAAAATGAAATGGTGATTGAGGTTGGAATATAAGTATATAAATACTAACCTCCAAGTTTAAATCATTTTTAGTAGCATGTGCTCGTAAATAACCAAACTCAGAAATTCTTTTAAGACTCCAGCTCTCTCCCTGCCAATGCAACAGAACAAACAGTTTCATTTGCATATTAAAAAAATCATAAGCACAGTCCAAACTTTTATATAAATGAACAAGGTTCGATCTAAATTGTGGCTGCAATTTAAAGGTTTTAGAGGTCTCGGCAACAACATTGCTATGCAATATCAAAGTTTGCATTGTAATGGCAACTGCAACCACAACTACAATTTAGATCCATGAATATATAAACGAGTTTGATAAAGGGAAAATTAGTTACATTGTTTGAGGATTTGTCCAAGGTGAAGCCAGCCATGCCAATGACAGCATGTACGGGTGCACTATAATTTTTGTTATCATAAGTGTCTACTCCCTTTTGATCTTTTATAGGCATGGCTTTGCACTTATTCTGATAGACAGAACAAGTTCTTTCATAGTTATGCACATGGCCAAAAAGTGCCAAGTCAACCTGTTTCATATTCATAATACACAGTTAGCTTCTTATACAAGGCATTGTAAGTAACAGAATTCTAAGGAGTTTGATGTTCTTGCCGTATTCTCAAATAGCAATGGCTCCACAGCTTTAATAAAATTTTGATCTTTAGACGAAAATCCTTGGTTGGAAGTGTACATTGGTCTATGTCTGCAAATAAAAATAGTATGTTCAATAAATGTTGTGATTTTATTTCGGTTTGAGTGGTATAAGTCAGCTGAATCATGACTCGGAAGTCTCGTTGGCTCAATGTTAAGTTTGGTTTTTAAAACATTAGTTGAGAAACCACAATCTAAAAATTTACATAAATCACTTACCCCATGAAGACTAACCAAGGAGTATGTTGTCTATTAACGGATGCCATATCCTTTTTCATCCATTCATACTGCAATATGAATTTTACATATATGAATCATTTAATTAAATTAGAAATATATGAAATAGGAAATAATTATTTATTTAATTAACCTGTTGAGAATTTATGGACCAGTCATGTTCAGTGGATATTACTGTAAAATGAACACTTGCTTGTTCAATTGAGTACCAAGGCTTATCCTTTGCAGAAGTGGGCATTGGAAAGTATGTTTCATAAGGTACTCCACATTCACCACCAGAGTCGGGTGTTTGATAAACCGAACCAGAACTTACATAATCCCTGTGAATATAAATAAGAACAAGTTTGAACAGAATAAGCCATTCAATTATTGTTAAAATGTTTGAACAGAATTATGATTATTAATGTGGATGCAAGCAATACCTCTCATGGTTCCCAATTGCTGTCATGTAAGAAACTCTTGAAGCTACTGGACTAATAAGGTTCATAAAGAAATCCCATTCTGCTAGAAAACCGGTCGCATAACTTATGTCTCCAATGTGAAAAACCGAGTTTAAATTGTTGGAATCCACTTCACTAGCTATAGCTTTTATAACTGATAAAGCTCCAGGCTACATGAAAAACAAGATCATGCTGGTCAACACATAGTGGTACAATGTATTGGTGAATAATTCAGATTGAAGATGTCTTTGGTGTCTGACACTTGTTTATGTGGAAGAGTGACCCGACTCTTGCACATATGATTACATTCAATCATTTTCATTTTTGTAAGTTCACCACCTGTCCAATCCTAATGTGTTATCTCAATATGCATTTCAGTTGTAAATGCTGTTTCATATCAATTTACCTGAATGTAATGTTCCTCTGAAGCATCAAGAGGGGTCTTTCCCATATCGCCAAAGCTACTGACGGATTTAGCGCGGCAAATATAATAGGTCGAGGTGGATTTGGATCTGTTTACTATGCCGAGCTTCGCAACGAGGTTTGTGTGTTTAAAATCTATTTTAAAATGGAAATTCAATTTATTAGCAGCAATTAACTTTTTCTTTTTTTTGTTGTTGTTGCAGAAAGCTGCAATAAAAAAGATGGATATGCAAGCATCAAAAGAATTCCTAGCCGAACTAAAGGTTCTGACACACGTTCATCACTTGAATTTGGTATGACCTTTTCCTAGCTCCAATATTATTCAAAGTTGAAGCATGATACTGATACAGATACAGACACGACACTGACTCGTATAAACTTAGTAACGGTTTAAGAAAATGAAAATGAATGTAACCATGGCGTGTGTGAGACACCTAAAATACTTTGAATCCAAAGTGTCTCTGCTACAAATGATCTTATGCTAGTCATGTAGAAACTAGAAGTTACTTGCATAACAAGATATTGAAATATATACAGTTACTTATTTCCAAAATCATGATTCCTTGCATACACATATTCTACGCAGGTGCGGCTAATTGGATATTGTGTTGAGGGCTCCTTATTTTTGGTTTATGAATACAGTGAGAATGGAAATCTAAGTCAACATTTGCGCGGCACAGGTTGTCAATAATAACAATAACTTGAACTTTGAATAATTCTAATTGCATCATTTTATTGATGATTATAAGACTCTTAAGATATTTGATTTATAGGGAAGGATCCATTATCATGGGCAGCTAGAGTTCAAATTGCATTAGACTCAGCAAGAGGACTTGAATACATTCACGAGCATACAGTTCCTGTCTATATACATAGAGATGTTAAATCAGCAAACATTTTGATAGACAAAAACTTCCGCGGAAAGGTTCGCAAATGCTTTATCCAATTTTTATGTATTTATCTTAAAGTTGAGTTCGGGCGGTTTAACTTTTCTTTCACAGGTTGCAGATTTTGGTTTGACAAAATTGACTGAATATGGTAGCTCCTCGTTACAAACACGCCTTGTCGGGACGTTTGGATATATGCCTCCTGAGTAAGAAACTTAATCATAAATAGACCTTAAATTTACCTTTCCTTGATATGTATGTGAAAAAGATGATGAGGGTTGGATCATTAATTCAAATAAAAATGGAGGAAAGTATATTTGGTGAGGAGTTTTTAGAGCAACTACGTGTAGAGAGTATAAAGGAGATTCTTGATCACAATTGGTTAAGTGCATCTATTATCACTGTATTTTCCAGGTACCTCTATTATTACAAATATTCTCTTATTTGACAAATATATTATTAATATTAATGTTATTTGTATTGTTGACTAATATTCACATTGGTGACAAATATATTAATATCAATTGTTGTTCATTTCTAGGTATTTGTATGACAAGTTTATTTCTAGGTAATTGTGTCTAAATTAATGTTATTTTAAAACAATTATGTGGAGTAAAATTAATCGATATAAATTTTTTTTTTGTAGTGTCCTCGTCAAATTAATGGCGTTGATTGTGGATACTTCAACGCTTTTGGATCATGAAGGTGGTTACTACATGGGATTGTTTTGTTATCCTTTCTTATTTTTTTGGTGTTTTGTTTAGAGAATTTGATTGTATGTTTTTGGATTTGGATTGAAGTACTCATAGATGGGCATCTACAAATTTGGCTATGCAAACGCCCTCTTAATATTCTATATGTTATGATATTTGGAAACAATAGGATTTGGTAATTTAAAATGTTATTTGGTATTTGATGGATCATAATATATATGCAATGAGTAACTTAAAGCGTTATTTGTGTTGAATTGAATATAGTTATTTTATATTTACACAAAAAAAAATGATTGTGTAAGAAAAAATATTGTACTGTACTTATTAAAAATATTGTACCAAATATGTACCATTTATTAGCACTTTATTTGAAAGCGCTATCAAACATATGTTATATATTAGCGCTTTTTGTTTAGAGTGCTATAAAAAAACAAACAAAAAACATGCAAAAAACTGACTTTGATAGCACTTTAATTAAAACGCTATTATAAATTGGTACTTTAATAGCGCTTTTAAAGTGCTATTAAATAAGAAATATTTACAATAGTGGCGCGGTTAATAGCACTTTTAAGCGCTATCAAAAACAAAAAAAAGCGCTATTAAATAGCTTATTTGGCGTAGTGAAGATAAATAATCCTACTTTACAACTTATCTCTTAATCACTACCACTATGTCAAACAAGCACATAGACAGTGCTTTTTTTGGTCATAGACAGCGCTTTTTTTAGCCATAGACAGCGCTTATAAGCGCTTCTTATTCTTGCGCTGCTGTAACTTTAGGCAGCGTTTTTAGTCTATGTGAAAGCGCTGCTTAATGTAGACCTTAGACAGCATTTTATTGAATAAGTGCTTTCTAAAAGCCCCTATAGGCAGCGCTTTTAACAATGTAAGCGCTTTCTATAGTGTGTCTATAGCAGCGCTTTAACTTTAGACAGCGCTTCCTCAAGCGCTGTCTAAAGTGAAAACGCTGCTATAGGCACACTATAGAAAAAGCATTGTCTATTGTATTTTTTTTTTATATTTTAGCTAAGCGCTATCTAATGTCCCCTTTTAGGTAGCGCTTGTTATGTCATAGGCAATGCTTTTTGGTTTAAAGCGTTGTCTAATATTAACGAATTTTTTAATACATTCAACTTATATTTTAAGCGTCCTGTACACATAATCACTTAAAATTTAAGCGTTGTCTTTCAAATTTGCACCAGAATTTATATATTTGAAGCTTCAATCCAATAAATATGCACCAAACTTTTATATTTATATATACAACTTTAATCTAACAATTTATATATACATAAATACAACTTAAAGTGTTCAATATTGTTATTTTCTAGAGCTGCTATATTCTACTATCTTCTCTACAAACAACAACAATGAAGAATCCTAAATGAATCTATATATCTTCTACACATATAGGCAACTACCTGAAACAAAACAAACAAAGACATATATATTAGAATCAAGCTATATATATAACACTTAAAAATCAATGTAACAAAAACAAATCAAGATTCATACAAACAAAATTCTCCGATTCATACCATGCATACAAACAAAATTCCTCGATTTCGTCCATAAAAACAAACAAAATTCTATTATAATCCACCATTAAAAATTCTCCGATTAATACACACAAACAAAATTCCCCGATTTCGTCCATACAAACAAACAAAATTCCGTTATAATCCACCATTAAAAAGTCTCTGATTCATACATACAAACAAAATTCCCCGATTTATACCATGCATACAAACAAAATTCTCCGATTTCGTCCATACAAACAAACAAAATTTCGTTATAATCCACCATTAAAAATTCTCTGATTCATACATACAAACAAAATTCCCCGATTCCGTTATAACCCACCATTAAAAATTCTCCGATACACTTTCAAATACAAACAAAATTTTCATCTCAATAACAACAACAACATTGCAACAATTTACTACACTATGACGACATAGTATCTCATTAACTCAAACTTATATATACTCAAAATTATGATCAATAAAAGTGTCACAATACCTTATAAAATTCTCATCTCAATAATGAATTGACACCAATCCTCCTTAATTTTGTCCAAATGATCTTTCGAATAAGTAGAACACTTATATTCATCAAAGTACTACATAATATAACATAATATGATTTAGTTAAAACAAATTAATTAGATGAAATGTGTTAAATATATTAGAATAAATCATAAGTGAGAAACTCATACCATGGATGGAATCTCTATTTGATTCAAAAGAATAATTTCTTTCATAAACCTCAACATGAAATAACCGCAATCTATACCATTGGGCTGACGAGGATACTACACATGGAAAAATATACAAATATATATCATCTCATATAATTTAACTTGTTTTATCAAGTAGCATCACTAATATAATAAAAATTATGAAAATATACCTGCACTCTAGTCCATGTAATTTTGTTTGCCTTAATCTTTGGTACTTGAATATTTCTTTGTGATCTAAAAATTGGTATAACCCTAACAAAATATAAACGAAGATTTAGAACAATCTCACATAAAAAATAAATAAGTATACAAATGAAGTTTTAGAACAATCTAACTTACGTATCAACCATCTCCTTCGTGTATGGGTATTTTGTCCAATCGCCTTCTAACGAATCCAAATAATATATAACTTCTCTTATTAGATTGATCGCAACCAACAACCAGTATCCACTGTAAGATTAACAAAGTTTAGATTGAAACTTTCTACAAAACGTCAAAACACGAAAAATTATAATAGATGAAGTTTGAACGAAAATCTTACTCATTGCCAGTATTAAATGAAAAAAAAAACAATTTTTCCGCATATATGTTGGCCATAAATGTACAGACAAAATACTCTTTTACGTCATCTGGTCGTTGTTGGATTAATAGTGCATTGATATTGCTTGGAGATAAGAAGGAGAATCTTTGATCCAATTGATGCGGACGCATCAAGTTGGCATACATGAAACTTAACTAAATACA